ACATACATACAGCGCGGCGCATCGCATCGGCATTTATATTCCATAATGCGCCGTAGTTTTCATTTCCTGTTTAACAAAAAGAAACCGGAATAAAAGACACAATTACGAAAATTAGGATCATTACTGCTGTCCTGTTTTTACGGTTATAATATATATAGTAGATATTTTTTTTTAAATATATGTTATTTATATAAATATCATATATATATATATATATATATATATATATAGGCTATCTAACATTGCGGACTGCAATTATATATAATGACACAAAATGTTCTAACTACAATCATACGCCCACGTTACAGACATATCGTATCTAGACAAATATTTGCTAACACGAATCCTAATGAAACTTACATTTCTCCATTTATAGCATATATAACTTAGAACGTCCTAATAAAATATGTCGGCCAACAAAAGAAGAAATACGTTGGCGCAATGATATATGAAAAAAATACCTTTTCAAAATACATATTTTGATTATTTTCACACGCAAACAGAGCTTGCCAGACGAAAAGAGATGCAGAAATACATTTAATTGTACCTACCCTGAGGGAAATTCTGAAAGTGAGCAATATGTCAATGTAATAGAGAGACAGGGTATGATAATAAATCCAGTGCGAACATTCAGTGAGATTCAAAGAGCGTTAGCGGCTAGCTCAATCTAGATAGATGAATTCGAAAAATTTGTCGACTTGCTCGGCAAGTATAATGGGAACAAAATGCCGAAGGTTCTTGCTATACCAATGTAACAGCGGATAGGCGCTGACACTCGGCGACTCTGTCGCCCAAAGAAAAATGACTTAGTGCCAACGTTAAGCCATTGAATTTAGAGGTTGGCATGCCTAGAGAAGGTGCGCATTTCGAAAAATGACCTCGCTACTTTCAAATATGCATGCGCACTGCCGCTGCCGAAGGTCCCTTGCTATACCAATGTACAGGGATAAGGCGCGGAAACGTCGGCGCACCAGTTTGCAAAGGAAATGACTTTAGGGCCGACTTTAAGCATTTCAATTTAAGAGCGGTGGAATGCTAGAGAGGTAGCATCGAAAAATGCACTCTCGTTACTTCAATGTGGTGGCACTGCTCTGCCGTGAAGTCATTGCCATACCAATGTGCAGGGATAGGGCACGGGGGGCACTCGCCTCGGAACTGGGTAAGAAGAGGTGCCTCGGGCGGACCTGGAAACCTGACCCTGTCGCAACCGCTTTGCGCCCTTTTATACACCTTGTCCCAATAATTTTAACTGCACTAAAAAGTATTACCCTTGTTTGCAATATTGGCACACTTTCGGGTATGTCCTGTCCTCTGTCAATTAGGCAGATATTGGTCCAATATTACCCTGGGTGATATTTTAGCCCGCGGCCCAATTATTGTTTTGCCAATATTGGGCGATATTGCGACCAATATCTGCCTATATTGGGTCCAATTTTAGGCCTTGGGTGCAGATTGGCCCAATATTGTTTGCAATATCAGCTTGATGAGTGGGTATCTAGATACTTGTGCCATAATGATGTTCCGGAAATATACCCTGTGCAATATATAATTCGAAAAAATTAACCTGTTTACAGCGCACGTCCTCCAGTACCTTAATCAAATGGAGGCCCCCCGGGGGGATAGGGCGCGGACAAACGGTCGGCGGACCTGTCGCCAAAGGAAGGACTAAAGCTGGCCAGCACGGCCTTCACCATTTTTTCGTTGCTCGTACACGGCCGGCCGTTCAATGTGAATTAAAGCGGAATTGTATTTCTTATAGGTGCGCACGGTGGGTATTCATCCACTGGCACTGGCACACGCGACGTGCACCCAATGCGCACGCACGCAGCACACATGCACGGATGCGGCACGCACTACATTCCCTACATCTATCAGGCACGCACGTGGCACAAGCGGCAGGCACGCAGTAATACACAGTGCCAGCGAGCTAACGAATTACGATCACACTACAATATATTACACAACACACACAGAAATTTTATGTAAAAAATTCTGTTTCATCGAGAGCGTAGAGAGACATGTCTCTTATGTAATGAATAGTTAGATTGAATTTTTGATGGAGCAGTTATGTTGGCAATGCCGTTTACAGTGTTACCTGTCTAACCCTTAAACAGTATCCTTAATTTATTGTCCTGTTTAATGGGGATGGGTCCCTAGATCACGAGCCGCCGTGTGGATTGCGTTCTTTTGTAACTGCTTATAATGCAACCAACGTAAACTTACGTTTAGGATTTACTTTCAGCCACTACAAATATACAATGTATCTTGATTCAATATGCAGATAAATGATACGAGTCACAATATTATAATTATAATTATAAGAGATTATGTAATGTATTACTTGTCTGTGCTAGTAGCGCTCATTATTTTCTTTGTTAGTTTACTTTCCAGTCTTCGAATCATTCGCAAGAACACTTGATGTGGCAAATTCGCTTGAAAAACAAGAATTGGGCCTTTCCAGCGACTTTCGGCAACACTCGAAGGCAAGGCTTCCTTTACTCTTGAAACGTTGAATTGAACAACCGTGTGTGTACTATGCTATACCACTGCTGTGTTCTACTCCAATAAGTCAATTGAGTTCATGCAGGTAACACGTTTGTCGCAACAAAGCAGGTGGAAAAACCAGTTTAGATAGCAGTAAATAAATTGCATTGATAAAACGAATTGAAATGTATTTTATATTTAGTATCATTATTTGTGAAAACGTATGCGATCCCATATTTGTAGGTCAATGGCTACAGCTATCAAGTGATTGGAGGCCAGCACCTGGTAACAGCGGCGAGAGAAATAAACGCGGCTGATGGGGACAATTACAATAAACTATTCTGCGTGGTTTATGGAGCGTTGACATCTGTAGAGTCCATGTGGTTAGCCAACAGACATAACCAGACCGGAGGGAATCGCCATAAAATGACGTTCCTTGACAAGGTATTATAAAAATCTGAGCATCACATACGTAATGTACTAAAGCCAACATTTCATTAATAAAGCAACAACAAAAAACGTATAGATAAGTACCCGAGTATCACATACAGTAAATAAACACAATAGTAAATTTTAAGCTTGTATGCAACAACTCTCAAACACTGTTTTAATATCTATATCATGTCATGTGTTATTTTTTTAGGTTAGATTCTGTCATACATGGCAAATAGAACAGCGCACGTCAGGGGGGCGAGACAGTTATTTGAGTTGGAAGGAGTGCTGCCGAACAATACTGAATGAAAAGGTATGAAATGAACTATATGATGACGTTTGGTGCAACAATTGGCTCATTTGGGTACATTCATAGTTAGTCATAGTAGAGCACGATGTGTTATATTCTGTGCTGTAAAGATTCTTAGCGGTTCCTGCTAATTTTCAAATAATGATCAAGTAAATACCTGCGTAATATTGGAATATGTAAGCCGTCAATTTTAATAAACAAATGCAATGCTGATTGTTTCTATATTCCATTATTTGTTATATAGAAAGGGCATGCGTTAGACATTATGACATACCTTGCGTGCATGTCGAACGAAACGTTTCAAGTTTTCGACGAGGCTATGGAAATGTACGAAGAAGGGAAACTGAGCGGTCAGAAAGAGGTAACTGGTTTGGAGACCAAGAGAGACATCCCGTTCAGCACCTTTAGATTTGTTCTAGGATTGGATGAAGGTGCGATGAGAGACATCTGGGAAGAAGTAAAGAATGGGGAAATGACCATCAAGCAGATGACGAAAGAAACAGAAACAATAAAGAAGCTGCAGGTTGGTTGTTTAAATACTAGAAATTGACTGAAATTAAAGGCTGTTAATTATTTGTAGATTTTGATTAGTCTGTTAATGTGTGTTTTTTGGTTTTCTCCATGTCTACCTTGTTTCAGTCTTTATATATCATTTTTAAGACTCACGTCACTTAAAATCATTTAGAACTTACGTTTATACACGTATTGTGAAGAGTTGTTGTGCTGTATTTTAACAGATAATTCAGGTGAAGTTGTTACAACTACTGAAGATACGAACGTGGGAAGAAGCATGCAGAGAGTTCCCTACTCTCACCTGTAGGGACTCTCTGCTTGCTTTCCGGGACTGCTCGTTCAGAAATAAAACCCCAGACGAGTTTTCCCGCTACGTGATGTCTGCAACGACAAACCAATGGGTTGGACCATCCTGCGGCGAGGATGTCATATCATTCAACAATGCTACGGGTGTCGTACTCGAAGGTGACGCAACCGAGGTTGGGACTGCTCAAATAGTTACAACGTTCAGATCATTTGAAGGAGCAGCACTTGTGATCGTCGACCCGCCAGAGGCATCATATATCTAAAAATTACTATTTCACAGTGGAAAATGACAGTTGATGTACACAATTCACCGAGTTTTTCGTGTTTTGATTTTGGTGTGAATAAAGCAGGGCCTTGAGCTTTAATTATTAACTCCGTGTGACGTGGTACAAATTCTGTTCTCAGATATTTCAAGAGAAAATATATATAGGCTATCTAACATTGCCGACTGCAATTATTATAATTGACACAAAATGTTCTAACTACAATCATACCGCACGTTACAGACATATCGTATCTAGGAAAATATTTGTAACACGAAATCCTATGACGTGAACTACATTTCTCTATTTATAGCCATTATATAACTTTAGACACGTTCCTAATAAAAATTGTCGGCCAACAAAAGAAGAAATACGTGCGCAATGATATATGCAAAATACCTTTTCAAATACATATATTGATTATTTCAACACGCAACAGAGTTGCACGAAAAGAGATGCAGCAAATACATTAATTTACCTACCCTGAGGGAAATCTGAAAAGTTGAGCATATGTCAATGTAATAGAGAGACAGGGTAGATAATAAATTCAGTGGAACATTCGGTGAGATTCAAAGACGTAGCGGTAGCTCAAATCTAGATAGGATGAATTCGAAAACATTTGTCGATGTGGCAAGTATAATGGGAACAAAATGCCGAAGGTTCCTTGCTATACCAATGTACAGGGATAGGGCGCTGACACGTCGGTGACGACCTGTCGCCCAAAGGAAATGACTTAGTGCCGACGTTAAGCATTTAATTTAGAAGGTGGCATGCCTAGAGAAGGTGCGCATCAAAAAATGCACCCACGCTACTTCAATATGATGGCACTGCTCTGCCGAAAATCCCTTGCTATACCAATGTACAGGGATAGGGCGCTGACACGTCGGCGACCTGTCGCCCAAAGAAAATGACTTAGTGCCAACGTTAAGCATTTAATTTAGAGGGTGGCATGCCTAGAGAAGGTGCGCATCGAAAAATGCACCCTCGCTACTTCAATATGATGGCACTGCGCTGCCGAAGGTCCCTTGCTATACCAATGTACAGGGATAGGGCGCGGACACGTCGGCGACCAGTTGCCTAAAGGAAATGACTTAGGGCCGACTTTAAGCATTTAATTTAGAGGGTGGAATGCCTAGAGAAGGTAAGCATCGAAAAATGCACTCTCGTTACTTCAATGTGGTGGCACTGCTCTGCTGAAGATCCATTGCCATACCAATGTGCAGGGATAGGGCACGGGGGGGGGCACTCGCCTCGGAACTGGGTAAGAGGGTGCCTCGGGGACCTTGAAAACCTGACCCTGTCGCAACCCGCTTTGCGCCCTTTTATACACCCTGTCCCAATATACTGCACTAAAAAGTATACCCTGTTGCAATATTGCACACTTCGGGTATGTCCTGTCCTCCTGTCAATATAGGCAGATATTGGTCCAATATTACCCTGGTGATATTGGCCCAATATTGTTTTGCCAATATTGGGCCGATATTGGACCAATATCTGCCTATATTGGTCCAATTTTGGCCTGGTGATATTGGCCCAATATTGTTTTGCCAATATCAGCTTGATGAGTGGGTATCTAGATAACCTTGTGCCAATAATGATGTTCGGAAAATATACCCTGTGCCAATAATGATGTTCGGAAAATATACCCTGTGCCAATAATGATGTTCGGAAAATATACCCTGTACAGCGGCACGTCCCCAGTACCTTTAACAATGGGAGTGCCCCCCGGGGGGATAGGGCGCGGACACGTCGGCGACCTGTCGCCCAAAGGAAGTGACTAAAGCTGGCAGCACGCTTCACCATTTTCGTTGCTCGTACACGGCCGGCGTCAATGTGAATAAAGCGGAATTGTATCTATAGTGCGCACGCGTGGGTATGTGTGCATCCACTGGCACTGGCACACGCGAACGTGCACCCAAACGCGCACGCACGCACGCACACATGCACGGAGCGGCACGCAGGCACGCACGCACACACACAGGCACGCACGCTGGCACAAGCGCAGGCACGCACGTACATACACACACACACACACACACACACACACACACACACACACACACACACACACACACACAGAAATTTTATGTAAAAAATTCTGTTCATCGAGAGCGTAGAGAGACATGTCTCTTATGTAATGAATATTAGATTGAATTTGATGAGCAGTTATGTTGCAATGCCGTTTACAGTGTTACCCGTCCGTAACCCTAAACGTATCCTTAATTATTGTCCTGTTTAATTGGTGATGGGTCCCTAGACACGAGCGCCCGTGGGATTGCCGTCTTTTGTAAACTGCTTATAATGCAACCCAACTAAACTACGTTTAGGATTTACTTCAGCTACAAATATACAATGTATCTTGATTCAATATGCAGATAAATGATACCAGTCACAATATAATTATAATTATAAGAAGATTATGTAATTATACTGTCTGTGTAGTAGCTCATTATTTCTTTTGTAGTTTACTTTCCAGTCTTCGAATCATTCGCCAGAACACTTGATGTGGCAAATTTCGTGAAAAACAAGAATGGCCTTTGCCAGCGACTTTCGGCAGACAACTCGAAGGCAGGCTTCCTTGACATCTTGAAACGTGAATTGAACAACCGTGATGAAATAATAGTTCATCAAGAACTGGCTGACTTCGACCAGAATGCTGTTGATGATGAAAATGATGAAGAGAACAATGAGCTCTCACAATACATAGCGAGGAGGCTAACGAGGCATGCCATAGCAGCACCACATGCAACACGGAAGGGAGCCGCATCTTTGATTATTGCGAGGACGGAAGCGTTTCTGTTCTTACATCCCCACAACGGTAAGATTTACTTGACAGGCTTCACCATTATTTCAGCATTGTGGGTCTTGTAATTTACATATATCAGTGGTGGATATAGAGGGGGGTTGGGGCGGGGTTGAAACCCGTTCAGCCACTGATTAATGCTATGATGCTAGTAAAATGGAGCCAAAAATAAAAAGTCACTCTGTTGGGTTGATAGAAACTGCATGGGGACTTCCTCTGCGACCACACAGCTGTCTAAATTTTCCAGGCGGGAGGGGGGGCATGATATCGGACCACTCTAGCACCGCATGCCTTCGGTACGCCCTCACTCAAATATCGCCCCCGTCTCCTGAAAGCTAGATCTATCTCTGTATAATTATATCAGGAGTGAATAATAGAGACTATTATTATTATTATTATTATTATTATTATTATTATATCTCTATTATTCACTCCTGGTTATATCCATCAAGAAGAAAGATATGTAAAAGTCTCAGTTTGTCTGGTTTAAACAATGACATTTTCATTAATATTATCTTAAAAAATCTGTAGAGACGCATTACTATATGTAAAATATTTTTGTATGTGCCTGTTTTAGGACTAGCACACCGGTGTATAAACTGAAAAAAAGGAGCCGTCCAGAATCTGATGTGACAGTTGTCCCAGTCCTCAGAAAGAAGAAACGACTTGTGCCAAAGGAATTGAGCCAAACATCAACCATCCAGAAATCAGTTAGAAGCAAACTTATAGGTAGAGAAATTATTAGTGCGTGTGTATAATTCATATACTAGTCGTCACGTTACATATGTGTTGTTAAGTCATTCTATCATTTAATTACTGATTTCAAATGTGTGATGTTTGTAATTTATGTAGCATTTTGTTGAATCATTGC